ATCCCGTGTAGGATCTGCAGAACCTCGCTTGATGCGACTGTTATATAATGATTCCTAGGAAAATCTGATGAGTTTTAGTGTAACTGTATAAGTGCGAGAGGAGTGAATTCTAAGAGAATCTGACGGACGAATGAGTCGGTACCATGGTTGTAGCTGCATAGGATCGAGGTGTCGGTCTCTATGAGTGCATTATCATCTCCATATGACGAATTGAAAATAATGCATTGAGAATGTATTAGTGTATGTATACATATATATATTTATTGCGTCTGGTAAATATGAGAATGAGGTCGATGTATATGTAGAGAGATTCTACTCACTAGGGTAGAACGACGATGCGTCGTTCCTAGTGAGGTAGTTACCGGGGTAGAATGGCCGAGACGTTGTTCCCGGTAGAGCATAAGCGACGTACCCATAGTCCGGAAAGAGGATTGAGGGTAGTGAATGAGTCTTATATGGATCGCATGGTGTGATCGCGATTGTCATATGTAAATATGCCTATGTGCAGGAATTGATGAGATGCGTTAGCAAATAAATAAATGTGAAAGATATTGACCGATGAATAGACGGTTAAGTGTGAGCGATTATGTCTATGTGTATTTGATGCAGTGAGAATCTATGGTTATGCATTGTAGTGAATAAGTATGAGGTATAGGCATTCGGTACTTGTACATTTATATATATATATATATATATATATATATATATATATATATATATATATATATATATATATATATATATATATATATATATATATATATATATATATATATATATATATATATATATATATATATATATATATATATATATATATATATATATATATATATATATATATATATATCTTATGCCTTGATTATTATGATAATGTTTCTCACCCTTCTGTTGTTTTATAATGCCCTACGAGGCATTGCAGATTAGGATTCGCTGGAGGTTTCCTTTGGAGTATAGTTCCTTTCCCTCGTGTCGGTCGCTCTGATATGTAACTTTGGGTAGATAGGCTTGTAGAATGTCTTAAGTGAATATATATATATGTTTTAGTATTCCTCTTTAAGAGAAAACATGAATATGTAATTTCGAAGAATCATGCGTTTATTTTTAGTTGAGATTGACCCCTTTTGAGTTAATTCTTTTTGAACATTAATATTCAAGTGGTCGTTTCGTGAGTATTGTGACGCACTTCTTTTATACCTTAATGTAAATACACTCTGATGAAAATAAAAACACTTGTATTCGTGACTATATGATTTGATATGTGACTATTTTGGGGTATAGAAAGGGGGCGTTACAGTTATCACTGCTGTGATTGAGGGGGAGTGAAAGGTATCTCTTATCTAGGGGTGTCCTAGGTAGAAATTGCAAGGGTAGAGATTAGGTGCGAAGATAGTAAACTAGAGAGAGTCTACTTTATATCTTCAAACTAATTCTACTTAGTGAATTTCCTTCCTGGCTTGGTAGCCCCTAGACGTAGGTGTGTTTACACCGAATTGGGTTAATAATTGCTTGTGTCTTTTTACTATTGTTAACAGTTTGTCTTTGTTCATATATTGGTGATAGTTCAAATATTAGTGTCGTGACATCGCCTTCGACATCTTATATCTAATACCAGAATTTCAGATTGCGTAGGAGTCGAACTTGCCGTGGCTGGTATGGCTTCAAATACTGACGCTAAAACTGTATTTCCCCCCTGAAGAAGAAGGGGGTGATGGTCCATCATTGAATGGATTTTGGTTTTTTGAAAAATTTAGATTCACCATCCTCCTTACATATATCCTTCTAGGCCTTTCTTTCTTGTTTGTGACTATTTTACCACTCCTAAGTATCATGCAACGAAGTGTAGAAAGATAGTAAAAATGAAGAACTTAAGTACATAAAATTTTTCCAAAAAAAGTAAGAGAAAATATTTTAACACACTATAACACTGTCCCATCAGGCGTGTCAGTTTGTTTACTGTGAAAATTGGTAAACAACTGATGGTCTTCCCCAAAACACTAATAATTTGGTTCACTTGCAGGATCACCAGTGAATCCTAAGAACATAGCTACTGTGTCTTATGCTTTTCTGGAAAATTTGTAGAACACTTCGACAATATTCATTAGTTTGTAAAAAGAATTGTTTGTTTGTTTAGTTTGAAAGAAAAAGGCTAAACTTTGTAAAAGTTTGGTAAAGTAAAGTAATGAAGAAAAATAACTTCAAAGTAAAAGAAATGCAGTCAAAAGTAATGAGTAAAAGAAAGTAAAATTCTATTGAATAAAATGTATGGTGTTTCAAACATACGTTTCTCAACAGTGACTCTTTTCTCACGTTAACTTGGGTACTTTGAGTAAATTTAAGTATAGTACAATAATTGAACACCCCGAAATCCTAACACTAAGATCCTTATTTATAATGTGTCGAAATAACTGTCTCTAATGATCATTTCTTCAAAAGTTGACACGTTTTGCCCCGGCATGCTTTTGCTTCACCATGGTTCGCCACACGTCTTTTCATAAGAAATGGATAAGGACAAAAGACAGTTATCTATCCATATTTGAAATTCAAATGTCTGTCGAAGGAAGGCATATCTCTTTATGAGAACTATTTCGACAGAACTTTACACCAATCCCTGTCGAAATCAATCAAACTTAAGAAACTTTCATTTTTTCTTAGTTTCTCTAATGGGAACATGACGTCGAAATTCTCAGCCAACAGAGACTTAATTAATTTTTGAGTTGTTTACATGATTAATTCCGCTTCGATGAGCCTATATAAAGGCGAGCATGTGATGACAAGTGTTTATGTTATTATTTGTTATATTTAACTCGTGTTACGAAGCAGGTTTATGTTGTGTTTGCGTGACACCTATGTGTATATTTGTGTAAATTCATATTATTATACGTTGGAGTTTTAGGGTGTACAAACAACATTAAAATGTTCTGCCAAGCACAACCTTTCACCAATCTTCCTTGGAATTCTCACAGTTAAATCTTACCATAATTCTCACTTCCTTTTACTATTACACTGACACATATACATTGATAATACTTATTTTTTCTTGTCTTCACCCCACCCCTTCAATCAATATTGCATGATTTAATGTGAGCATTTTCTGAATTGATACTGATCTGTTATCACACATAGTCAATATCCTTCCAAATCTCTCTTCAGATGGTTTAAATGAAAAGTTGTAAGTCTTTATAACCTCGTAACAAACAACACATTTTCCTTTATATTACTTCCATCTTAGTTCCTTGAATGCACAATATTGTTGGCTTATGTTTTGAAATTAAACTTTAAATTTCCTTTTTCTTGGCAATACCACCTAAGCTAATTAATTACTCATACTCATAATTTCTTAGCCTATCGATTTTACCGAACCTACTCTCATCCTTTCACCATTACTGTCAATTCTTGTAAGATTTCACCTTCATCTCCTTTATGAATCAGACCGAACTCCTTTTTCAAATCCCACACATCTTTGGCCAGCTCTAATACCTAATTGTTCATTTCTACCTCATTCCCTTTAAAATTAACACCAGAAATAAGTGTTACATATTTTTTGAATATTGTCGCAAACTATAATTGCAACAGGTTACTACCTTTTTCATTTCCTCCTTTTTCCTTTATTTTTATTTTTATTTTAAAGTTAGTTTGATAAAACCCAAAATAACAGCTTTTAACTTTTAACTTTTCAGTTCACATTAATGAAAAAAGTTTCTTTGGTAACTGTCTTTTATCTTTTAGTTTGTAGCTTATTTATTAGCTTTTAACTTTTTTTCAAAAGTTATTTGAATTAGCTTTTAGCTTATGACTTTTTCTTCCATTTGTACCCTCACTATTTTATTAAAAAGTCATTTTTATCCTTTATATTTTATTATAATTTAAATTAAAATAATTGTGTTTTAATGGATGAAATAAGAAAGGTTAGTCTTATTTCTACGAACAAAATCACGATGCAATTCATCTTCCATTTTGTTATTAATAGAATATTTTGATTCATTGCATTAAATTATTTTTATTACTTTTAATTATTATTTTAATTTTTATTACTTGAGTTTTTATTATTAATGTATTTCTTTATTATTAGGCATGTTATGGATTTTAAGGGAGAGAAATAGAATGAAATATACACTTTATTAAAATATAAGATCAAATTACAATATTATTATTTTAGATATTTTTTAATTTTACTACAAAATTTATATATAGGCGTTTAATATATTTTTGTGTTATGTTTAATTTTATATTTATATTTTAAATGTTTTGCATTTGATTGTTAATATGTTTATTTTTATTGAATAAAAATTAATTTAATAAATATGATTACTAATTTTTTAAATTAACAATGTTCTTTTATATCATTTCACATTTATCAATCGCTAATTTTTCAAACATTCAAATTACTTTATCGGCTATAAATCATTAATTATAAACTATCAATTATTAATCATAAACTACCAACTACCAATTAACTTATCATCTATCAACTAATTTAATAAATCAGAGCTTTAATGATTTAATGATTTTTCTTTCTTCTATTGTTATATGTTTTCCTATTTGGAATCGTAACCAATTTATTTATTTATTTATTTTTTTAATCAAACGGCTAGGATGGAGCTCCAATTTTTTTTATTGTTGCATCTAAACTCCTTGCATTTTGAGGCAATATAATACTTTTTAAAGAAATCTAATTTCTTTATATTATAAATTCATAACAATAAAAGCAACTTTGTAAAGAAGACTCGTGACACCATTTGACTAACCTTTGTTTTCTTTTGGCTAAATTTTCACAATAATTTTGAACACGACAGATCCCTCTATGATTAGAGGAGTCTTCCGTTCAAACTAATCCGATCCCGATTAACGGTTGAGATCGTTCTAACTCACTCTTCAATCACAACCGTACATCCGGAACCCTCATCAAACCCCAACCCTCTCCACAACTCCAAACCCTCGAAACCAAAACCAGCAAACAATCATTTTCCCGCCCACACCACAAATCTCCACCACTATCCATGGCTGACAACAAGAAACGCCGCCGCACAGAACCAACAGAAGAAATCCTCCCCTTTAAAAACAAACTCAAACCAGATTCAACCATCCTCGAAATTCTAAAAGAGTTGAAAACCTCATGCGCATCTTCCTCCGGAACCAAAACCCTAACCCTAGACGAACTCTCACTCCCCTTCCACTGTCGCGAAGTCGCCGACCTTTCCCTATCCTCCGTCCAATCCAACATCGAATCCCTTGTTCTCAAGATCGCACACTCAATCCTTGCTGGTAACGGCTTCGCCTTCGATGTTCCGTCTCGTTCTTCCGCTAACCAGCTCTATGTTCCTGAACTCGACCGCATCGTTCTCAAGGATAAATCGTCTCTTCGCCCTTTTGCTAACATCTCCACCGTCCGCAAAACCACCATTACTGCGAGGATTATTCAGCTTATCCATCAGCTTTGCCAAAAAGGTATCCATGTCACTAAGCGTGATCTCTTCTATACTGATGTTAAGCTCTTCCAGGATCAGGTTTTGTTCTCATCTTTTAAACTTCATATTCCTAATTTCATGTTTAGTTTTGCAGTAATTTATAATGAAGTAGAATCTGACACCAGATTATGAAGCTATTGAATCTATGATTGAGCATATTAAATAGATTATTATGATTTTGTTTTGATGCTTTTTATTAGTTCTAAGTAATGTTTGATTGTCTCGAATTTAATTAAATAATCCAAGTCAATTTTGTTTTGGTGATAAATCAGATGCAATCTGACACGGTTCTGGATGATGTTTCATGTATGTTGGGCTGCACACGTTCAAGTCTCAATGTTGTTGCGGCGGAGAAAGGGGTGGTTGTGGGAAGGTTGATTTTCAGTGACAATGGAGATATGATTGATTGCACCAAAATGGGTATGGGTGGAAAGGCAATTCCGCCAAATATTGATCGCGTTGGGGATATGCAGAGTGATGCTCTGTTCATTCTCTTGGTGGAGAAGGATGCTGCTTATATGAGGTTGGCTGAAGATAGGTTCTACAACCGGTTTCCTTGTATAATTGTGACGGCAAAGGGGCAACCTGATGTTTCCACGAGGCTGTTCTTGAGGAAGATGAAGACTGAGTTGAAGCTTCCAGTGCTGGCGCTTGTGGACAGTGATCCTTATGGATTGAAAATTCTGTCAGTTTATGGGTGTGGGTCAAAGAACATGTCCTATGACAGTTCTCACTTGACTACTCCTGATATAAAATGGCTAGGGGTTAGGCCTAGTGATTTAGACAAGTACAAGATACCGGAGCAGTGTAGGTTGCCCATGACCGAGCAGGATATTAAAACTGGAAAGGACATGTTGGAGGAGGATTTTGTCAAGAAGAATCCTGGTTGGGTTGAGGAACTGACATTGATGGTTAAAACTAAGCAGAAGGCTGAGATACAAGCTTTGAGCACCTTTGGTTTTCAGTATCTCTCCGAGGTTTATTTGCCCTTGAAATTGCAGCAGCAGGATTGGCTGTGAGTTATGTTATGTTTAAGAAATGAGGCACTGGTTATTTCAATGTGTCTCACCAGCTTAATGATGTTGTAATACCAATGTACATTGGAATGTGGATGAATTTCTAATTATCATCCATTGGAAAATTGCCATTGAAATTGCAGCAGCAGGATTGGCTGTCTGTTATGTTATGTTATGTTTAAGAATTGAGGCACTGGTTATTTCATTATGTGTCTCGGCAGCTTAGTGATGTTGTAATACCAATGTACATTGGAATGTGGATGAATTTCTAATTATAATCCATTGGAAAATTGCTCACTATCGTTCATTCCAAAAACATGTTAGTGGTCTATGATTTTTCATATGTTAATGGTCTATGATTTTTCATACCACCTTTATAATTTTGGTTTTATTGTTTTCTTCTTGGCAATGCATAAGTAAATAAGGAACCAACTTGAACAAAATCCACTAATCCGAGTGTTTATAGATTTTGCGTTTTTCTTGATTTTGCTTATAATTCTGAACTGAAAATGCTATTGTTCTATAACATCTGTGTCTGATGAGTGCTAGTGCAACTTTGGAAAAGATACTGAAAAACTATCAGTCGTGTCATATATTGAAAAACTTTGGGAGTGGTTTTAGTTTGTTCAATTTTTCAGACTTGCTGTTGGTGCAGGAGCATTCTGGGTAGAATTTGTGTGGGATTTTTCTGCCTATCTGCTTTGTTAAGGTGCAACCTATAGTTTATTGAGTGTTAGTTGTTGGGGTGAGTAGTTGGGGTGAGTTTTATTGTTTTCTTCACAAGCTGCAAGATTTACTTTGCCCTTCTACGAGCATCTTCAGTAAACCTTTGGTCTTGCTCGCATCAGGACCTGTAGCATTCATAAAATTTTCCTTGCGACATTTACAGATAATTTACTCAATTTCTACTAATTTTAACTTTTTTTTCTTCATAAAAGCTTACAGATGAATAGTCACCGGAAAAATACTTCTCACCCTAGAACCTGCAACATCGCAGCTTCTTATTTTTCTGGTATCATCAAGAGCTTTATAGCCCAACAGTCACCAACTTTTTTGTAAACCTGACAAGCCAGATTACCATAGTAGCCATAATCGATGTTATCGAGAAGAAGAAACCATAAACATGACATGATTATATGTGGATGCTGATTTAGCCTTCCAATTATTTTTCTGTATTATGCAATTATGCTATGCAGATGGGATGATATTTTTTTATATTTCTAGATTATGTAGTAATAATTATCAGAAAAACATTTCGGAGGATGATGTTCATCTTAATAATATTGATTATTTCCGGTTAAACTAGAGTTTGAGGACGGTTGTTAAGAAGAGGTCCATTAAAAAAAAGAAAGAGTTAGTTTTATTAAAAGATTTTTATTATTAGAATGGATTGTTATTAGCAGTATTTGTCTAAGTTTATTATTTTTGTTATTTTTGATCTTGGGCCCATGATCCAAGATATCATCTAAACTCTAACTATAAATTGTTTGTTGTTTTGAGTGGTTGGTAATGAAAATTTTGAAAAGTTATTTCTTGTGTTTATCTTCTTATGCAACTTAGTTTCTAATTCATGATCTTAGTGTAAGTCTAACAATTTGTTGCTTTTATCTACTGTTCTCATGGCTCCGATTTTTATTATTAGAATGGATTGTTATTAGCAGTATTTGTCTAAGTTTATTATTTTTGTTATTTTTGATCTTGGGCCCATGATCTAAGATATCATCTAAACTCTAACTATAAATTGTTTGTTGTTTTGAGTGGTTGGTAATGAAAATTTTGAAAAGTTATTTCTTTTGTGTTTATCTTCTTATGCAACTTAGTTTCTAATTCATGATCTTAGTGTAAGTCTAACAATTTGTTGCTTTTATCTACTGTTCTCATGGCTCCTTTCAAACCCTTTAACCCTTCTTCAAGAAAAATTGTAGAACAAGTTGTCCAAACTTCTCACATTCACCTTGACAATGTTATGACCCAAATTCAACAATAAATTGATGAAAGGTATGACCAGGTTCATGCAGATCTGAAACAAAACATTGGACAAATCCACACTAGACTGGATAATGACAAACAAATCTCTAATTTTAGGTATGAATCTATCATGTCCACCCTCCACAAACTCCTTATATTAAAGGAGCAGCAACCTGTTATTGTTCACTCACCAACAAGCTCTTCAGGTATTACTCAACACCTTGCATCTATATCCATGGTTCCCACCCATGTTATTCATATTACTTCCCTTATTAATACACCCTTAAGACAATCAACAACTTTTTTTAACACACCCCCACTAACCACTATAACAACCATGACGAGAAACACAAATGCTCAGTCACCACCTCACTTCTCACCCTATATACCCCAAACAACTTTTTCACCCACCCCAAATTATTCTATCCCCATTTTCCAGCAAAACCCTTACCCCCAAATTTCTCACATGCCCCCATTACCATCATTTTGTACTACCCCTAAACTTGAGCTTGCTATGTTTGATGGTTCAAACACACTTGAATGGTTATTCTAAGCTGGAATTTTTTTTCAATTTTTATAATCTGCCCCCCGAAAACAGATTATCATTTATTACATTTTACATGAAAGATGAGGCATTGGGTTGGTTTAAATGGATGCATCAGAATTTACTATTAACAGATTGGGTTTCTTTCACCAAAGTTTTAGAATTACGTTTTGGTCTTTCTTCATATGAAAGTCATCAAGCTGAGTTATTTAAATTAACCCAAGATGGTTATGTTGTGGAATACCAAGCTAGGTTTGAAAAATTAGACAATCAAGTTGTTGGCTTACCTCCTTATGCCATTTTGAATTGTTTTATTTCGGGGCTGACACTCGAGATTTGAAATGAGTTAGCTATTCATAAAACTACTTCAAATTCCCAAGCTATTGGGTTTGCCAAACTCATTGAATCCAAAATCAAAGATTTAAAATCCAAATTCTCCAAACCTTTCACTAGCCAATACCCAAAATCTAACACTCATACCATAAACCCCCCACCCTCAAAACTTCCCAGCGCTCCAAATTCACAATGGGCTACTACTTTCAAACCCCGCCCATCCACAACCCCTACCGGACTGCCCATTAAACGCCTTTCTCAAGCCTAATTACAAGAATGGAGGGCTCAAAGATTATGTTTCAATTGCGATGAAAACTTTATTGTTGGACACAAATGTTCCACTGATAGATTTCTTCTTCTTCTTGCTGAAGATGAAGTTTTTGAAGAGCAAAATTTAAGTCAAGACAACGTTGACCATGAAATAGAAGAGCAAGACAAGAATGATACTTATTTTCAACTATCCACCTAAGCCTTGACTGTTCAATTTTCTCCCCAAACACTTAAGTTTAAAGGCCTCATTGGCGGCTTATCAATCATGGTACTCGTTGATACAGGCAGCACCCATAATATTCTACAACCTCGAATCGCTCACCATCTCAACCTCAAAGTAACACATATCCCTCAATTTCCAGTAATGGTGAGAAATGGATCACATTTACAATGCGAAGGAATCTGCAATAATGTGAAAATTATTCTACAAAATAAACCCTTCCAACTCCCTTTCTACTTATTGCCAATTAAAGGCGCTTATGTGGTTTTGGGTATGGCGTGGTTACACACCTTAGGCCCAATTCAAGTTGATTTCTCTATCCCCTCCATAAATTTTACCCATCAAGACAAATCCATTACATTAAAGGGAGACCCTACATATCACCCTATCTATACTACCTTCCACCAACTTCACCATCTTATTCACACTAATTTTGTCTCCTCATTCCATTTAATGACCTTTCAACCAATTGACTCCTCCCCAACTTTTGGCCCTACCACAAACTCCATTTTTGAAACCTTACCTCCTGACCTTCACCAAAAAAATATTAACTTGATCCATAACTATCCTACAATCTTCCAACCTCACTCGGGCCTTCCACCTAAACGCCCACATGACCATCACATCCCTCTTGATCCCAACATACCACCTATATATATGTCAAACCATATTGTTATCCACACTCACAAAAGGAAGTAATGACCTCCATTACCCAAGATATGTTAAAACAATGTGTCATTATTCCTAGCCACAACCTATTTTCCTCACCCGTTTTACTTGTAAAAAAAGGACGGAACTTGGTGTTTTTGTATGGACTATCGTGCTCTCAATGTTGTTACTATTAAAGAACGTTTTCCAATCCCTACCATACATGAACTCCTATATGAATTGGGCTCAACCAAAATTTTCACCTAGTTAGAATTACGCTCAGGTTATTACCAGATCTGAGTTGCATCAGAAGACACACATAAGATACCTTTTTGGACCTTTGATGGGCATTACAAATTTTTAGTTATGCCCTTTGAGCTCACTAACGCCCCTTCTATTTTTGAGTCGGTTGTGATTGATTTGTTGCGCCCACATTTACGAAAATTCATTTTAGTTCTCTTTAATGACATACTCGTTTATAGTGCCAACCTTCAGGAACACCTTATTCATTTGCGGGTTATTTTTGAGTTGTTAAAGTCTAATTCTTTTGTCATGAAATTGCCCAAGTGTGTTTTTAAAGTGAATCAGGTTCATTATTTAGGCCATGTGATATAAGTGGGTGGTGTCTGTCGCAACTGCGAAAAAGGGCCGACAAACAGACAGAAGAGTCTCCACCGAACGTTATTTATCCCAAAGAGAGGGAAAGGAAACGATCGAAGAAAACCTAAAAGAACGGGAAAAGACAAGGTCATCACAACCAAATCTTGAGTTCGGGAGTCGGTTACGCAAGGGGAAGGTATGATCACCCCTCACATCCGTTGTACTCAACAGGATCCATGCTTGTTGTCTAATCTATGGGTGAAAGCTATCTAAAAGCTATTGCTAAACGGGGTGAACAGAAAGAACAAACTCGATAGGACATCGCTGCCCTATGCCTACGTATTCCCCCGTATAATGGGAAAGTCAGAGTCAACGTAGTTCGGGAAACTACGGGTGATGGAGGAAAGGTTGCTCGCCAAG